AAAAAATCAGCAGCATCCTCAAGGAGAACTCGGTATCGTTATCGATTACAAATACAGGCGTATGAATTATTTATGCTGTCCTCGGAGAATATTACTTGCACAGTGACATCTGACAAAGAGACTGACTGCACAATAATGATACGTGATCAGCTGAACATAAACAGGGACTGTCTTTAGCAATTAATCGTTCACTTAAAATACGCATGCGCAACAGTCTGGACTTTCCAATTCACGAACGCCGTCTTAACTCCAACCCCCCAATCGCCAAAATGTCGGTGATACATTTTTTATCTATTTTCTATAATTTCTTTGTTAATTCTGCACGAGATAGACACATTCCTATTAGCTACGGGTCTTGAAACACATATTCGCAGGTTAGTCGACGAAAGGTAATACAAGGTGACTTCGAAATTCAAAGGCCCAAAAGAATATTCAGAAGTTCAATTAAGGAAACTGATGTACTTCGTACTTCATCATTTATCCACAATCTCTAAATTATTTCATTAATGTATTAACGATCACAAAGGCAATTACCGTTGTATATGTAAGGAATTTAAGTTATGTTAAGTATAATAAAATATACATTATAGTACGACATGTAACACATGACATGCAGTATGAATAGATTCCATTGTAGCCATATTGTAACGTATTTTAGACAAACTGAGCAAGACGTCTCGAGTGACGTATCTAGTTTTCGTTATTTCGCTAATAGTTATGACAATAACATAAACCAGTTTGTTAACATCGCCAACACGCTCAAACCTCCGATACAGAGACCGTAAAACCGACGCGTCCATGTATTAGATGCGGTGAAAAATCAATAAAAATAACAGTAGCTCATAGCGAATCCGCATAATAACTAGGTCACCAGCATGCAGGGGTCACCAAGGTTTCCATGACAATACGAATTGTAACACTCGTGGGGGCACATGTTTCCTCTGATCATCTAGAGAAATAAAATCTTTATTCTAAACTCATTCCCATAATAATTGCATTGAACAACAAACCGACAGTATACATTGTTAATTACGTTGCAAAACTACTCCCCAAAACCGCGTAATAAGTCAAAAGATGAGCCTAGTCGACAATTGCATTGCAATTTAGGGCGTGTAAAAATGGCTTGTAGCCATAGTAACCAATCTTGCTGAATATACTAGTACTGTCTTATCAAGAAGACTGGGACTTCGCGATATTTGTAGTTCCAACACGTCAAATGTAGCAAGCATTGGGGGGAACTGAGGCGGAACAGTATATCATGTACCGTTTAGACACAGTTAACGCTATTGAAAAACACGCAACTTCGGTATTTTGATGGGCCACAGCTGGTCTGCTTATATAATACTAGTGCTACGCGTTTTTGTCTTTTCGGTATTTCCGCAAATAAATGTCTCTACTGGCGATTACTCGTAATTAACGTCAGTTGCATGAGACTATGGAACAGCTGTGCTTCCATGTGTTGTCAACAACAAAACATGTACACGGTCTACCTGTTTACAACAGTAAACGGTTTGCCTACCACATAATTGTTAACGAACGCCATGGAAATGTAAAGGAATAAAGAACGTCTCTACTCAAGGCACAGAACATAATCGGACATTTTGCATATCGCCACACTTTAGCACGTTTTTATCTAGTTAATCTGCTCTTCAGTCAATAGATGATCAGACTCGGGCACTGATCTCAATTTATTACATTAATAAGGCATTAACCAAGGTCAAAGTTTATTCTGCGAATCGAGTGATGTGAATTAATGATGTGCCCTACAATGTAAAAAGTCTGGATACGAAACAAAACATGGCCACATGAAGATATGTTTTAATAATACAGTCAGGAAGGTGGAAACTGAGACTGCGTCACGGTGAGCGTAAATTAAAACGTGAGGGGACGCCTCGGAATTTAAAATGTTTTACTGTTTTGGCTGTATTTGATTGTGGAAGCGCACAGCATGCATATGTGACCTGGTTGTAGTTAGCTATTTGCTCTTTCCATTTAATGATCACACCCAATATAAAGATATAACAGATGCACAAGTGGCGTTGGTGTCCCGGGGTAATGATGGAATCCTAACATCTGACTCGTGAAAGTTGATTTTTAACATCTTCACACATTTCCACATACCTACCAAAGGTGAATAAACAATAAGCGAACGGTTTTGATTTGTTTAATGAAGGAATACTTGATATGTAGGATTTTACATTCAAGTTAGTGCAGACCAAATAATCTTCGGGTTCGCCATATACTTATAGTAGCATGGTAACGAATACTGATGGAGATAAAATGCCTATATTTGAGTCTCTAAAACATCATAAACCTGATTGCAAAATAATGAATTTTTGGTTATATTTTTGGATTTTATTAACATTAACTTTTCTATGCCCCACTGAGCAATGAATGTTTTTTGTGAAGAATAATAAAAATATACAATATATTTGAAATACGGGATTATCTTCAGACTAGTTAAGGAGGTTGACCATCTACCCGTGACGTTCAAAATGTATAATGCGCCGCATCGAGACAGTTCCATCTATATTTCCACCATTATACAGTGTTCAGTGTACTTTGGGGGCTCAACATCGGTTAATTCTACAGGAAACACATAGTGAGACGTTTGCCATCATATATCTAAAGTTGCCAATCATTTGAATGCTCCCTCGACCCTTTCAGTTGACCCCGAATTTGAACTCTATTAATAAGCCAATTATTGCAGTCACGTGCAAAATGTGATCTTCATTTACTTCAATAACGACAACTTGTTTTCCTGTAAGTAACATTCCAGTAGGGATCGTGGTGTCGACTTAAATGTAACTCTACTATCTATGACGGAAATGAAGTGATGCAGCTGCAGATTTAGACAAGTTAATGGACTGAAACAGCGCTCCACAGCGCAGTGCGCATATTGCAATGATACTAATGCCCAAACCGCGACTGGCTATTCGAATATGGCCGCCGAGATCTCGTTGAAAACAAGAGTCGCGTGACTTGACCATAGTTCATCTGAACTATCTAACAACCGTATTTTGAACAATGAACATGATGATGGTGGGAGACAATGGTACGCTATTTAGAGGTCAAAAACAAGTCACGTGCCACTATTTTGCAATCATCGAATATACGACGACAAGTTTTTTGTTGGTGGGGCAATGCCGTTACATATTTGCATTGTCGTGTTACAGCACGTTGTGACTGTGTGTATAACAAAGTATAGTTTGCATATTAATTATAGGTAAACTACTAGGTTGGAAATATCAATATAATAGAAATATTCCGTCCGACAGCAGACGCCGTGGCTATAGTACATCATATCGACCGCACCACTGCAAGCGCCACGTTGCCTTGAAACACTGCCACCATTAGATAAGTAAAATGATGTAACCAAATCGGCAAAGTAAACGGAACAACGACCCAAAAGCCTGACATAGCACCACCTGTCAATAAATCTACGGAAAATCGTAACAGAATTTAACAGTAATGAACTTCAAGTTAATTGACATTTTGATGGAATACAATTTCGAGAATCTACCCTTCGTATATATACACACACCTGTTCACTACACATTAGTTCACTACAATACAACTACTACTAATATTAAAGCTGTTCATTGGACATACAGTTAAATATACGTGACGCTTCGCGGCATAATAATAAAGCACTACCATTTACAGATACAAATATATTCTTCTTTAAATTGCAATGTGCGACACGTGCGGGGGAAACACAAAAATCAGAGATTCGTCACAATACACCAATGCCTCGCCATATGTGAATTATTTAGTGTATTCTATAATTTGTGGCTGGAACAATTACCACATGTGTTCCATGAGTGATGCTGATCACCCAAGATTATAGAACACAATAATGGATTGCCAGATACATTGATAAATAAATAGCAAACGTGTGTGGTAGCTCATCTAAAAATAGCTGGAAATGACATTGACACTACATATTAGAAAAAGAATATGCACATATATTAATGACAACTAAGCAAAAAAAAAGAAGAAGCACAAGTTGTCTCGCATATCTCTACCGAATGCATAACTAAATCAGTTGATTTAAAATGCAAGCAAATTCCAATAACCCCTGGGGATGGACTTAAGTGACGCGTTATTAATACGCATGGAGGAATTATAGAGTACGTACGAAATGTATTTTCATGAAAGTGATTTTATGATGTGTTTTATTAGACTCCGTGCAGCATTCAACTCGTGTATGTAATACTAATTAGGAATAACATGTATATTATTACATATGTATATGTATGTGTGCGATAAATCATTCATAGTCGCAACATATTTAATTATACGCCGCATAACCCTAGAGAAGTATATATCCGAAATCCTGGTTTATCTTATGGTTGCTTTATCACAGTTATCGTCCGAAACCTTAAGGTTGCCGTGTTAAAAACAACTGAATAATTAAATCAAATTTGTTCTCATTCTACTGATGGGGGCACGGAGTTGTCATAGCTTCAAAATGATGGACGTTTAATGTCAGAGATGCTTCACGATTGCATCTGTGATTTTCACAAAACGGGACAAAGCGGCAAACCAAGCTGCAATCAGTGAGATCATTTACAGATACGGCGAGTTAAATAACGGCGATGCTTCGCAGTGAAGAGTGACAGGCATTATCCGATTTTTTCCCCCGCAGATTATAACCGTGCTGTCATTATTTGCAGTAAATTGCACCATGGAAAGAATCAATCCAGTACCTCGACAGGGAAAGAGGAGCATGGGATCAGTTTGTGGGGTCCACTGTGGGTTTGTTTTGTTTAGCAAGGCCACGTATTTCCTATAAAAACATAATTGCTAGTTGCGATATTAATTCTCTAAAAGTTAGTCTACATAACTAACATCGTAGATGTGTACAGTATAGTATGAACAGATATTCTAAAAAGATCTGACATTATAGCGTATAAATCATACACGCATGCAAATTCATTACAAAGTACCTATATTAACATTGCAAACATAGGGTATTTAAAGTAAACTGAACTCACCGTTCACAAACTCGAAGCGTCCAGCTGGCTATCATCCACAATGTAACCGTAAACACTAGAAGCACTGTCCCGGGGCAGATGGTCATTAAAGTCTTCAACACAAATCGTGTATTAAAATTGATTCGATTTAGTGCACCTATGCTTCTTGACGAAGCGTCTGTAAATAATTTACTATGTAACAGCATCACTCTACAAATTAGATAGAGCCTGAGGAACATCGGTATTGAGAGAATAATATCCAAATCAGCCGTAGCCACAAGTGGTTCCCGTGTATAGGCATAAAAAGTTGTCCATTGGAAGGTGTAATGACCGGGTATGGGATGGATTGCACATACTACCAACTCCATAGTTATGAGTGTATTACGCTGCCACGTCATTGCTATCCTCCAGTCGTCGGCACAATTATCTACTAAAAATAGCTGAAAAATAAGAAAGAAAGACAATTTAGTGAATAAAAGATTTACCTTATTTTAAGCAATCTACGTCACCAAATATATAAAATCGATCATTTGTCTCATGGTTACACTAACATGAGCCCCAAATCTTCCCAATAAATTCAGGAGTCATTACATAAGGAGCAATATATTACTCATATTTCCTTTTTTTTTATAAAATATAGTTTCTTCATGTATTTGCATTTTTATCAGAGGAACTGGTTGTTAACAATAACAAGCACTAATTCTCTCGAGCTCCATAATGACAGGTACGCAGGCATTCACATTATTATAATCATAAATAATAATAATTCAATGTCAATTCCTTCCTTAATTACAAAATTAATTACCGTCTATTTGGCGACTGAATGGGGCATGATCCACTCTCACAAAAGAAACAAAATATTATGAATCTATTTCGGAAATTACAATATACTGTCTCGCTAGTAACGTAAGAAAATTTGACAGATATGCAACTATTAAATATAATGATGACATTCAACATATACAATAATATACAGCTGAATAACAGGGTACAACCTGCTCCATAAATGAGTAAACAATATTTAAAGCGGGAGGGTCGTCACCTGCACACGCCGCGGGAATTGAGTCCCCAAGCGACGATAGCAGCACACGCTAAAATCGCAAAGGCTCATGGGTAGACGCTTGTTTGTAAACAATGACACGCTATGGCCATCTGACGCATGCGCAGATGACGACTACCCCCGCTTTAAGTATGAAGAATACGACTGTGTGCTAAATATATTCAATCAAATCCAAAATATTCCTATGTGACATAATAAATTAAAGTCTCGAGTATGGAGTACATACTTTACTAAATGGAATTACAATAGTATGTAAGCGGAGATCAGACAATGTAAATATAACACAATTTCCAACCATTAGTCCCACACAAATGTGAGCTTATGGACGAAAGTCTAATACATAATATTTATGAATATATACGTAATGAACGCAAACCACTCTGTGGTGGTCACTCATCTATCTAAATGAAGTTGAAGTAGACGTTCTTCGGTTGTGGGTGAGATAACTAGTATACTACTGTAGAATACTTTATTTTAGCTGGAATTAATTTTCGCTGAAAAGGCTTTTTGGGTGTTTTGTTTGGAATATATTTTTACTGATTTTTGATGAGTTGAATGTAAAATATAGGAAAAAAATTATATTCGCTGGATTTTATTTTCTCTGAATCATCCCTTCAGCGAAAATAAAGTATTCTACAGTATTAACACATCGTTCATGAGCGAGGAGTATTTGCAACCAAAGTGGAAGGCGGTGCAGTTATTTCCTAGGTCTGCCACCGTGGCGATTGGGAAAGTTATCGAAATGTATACCAGCCATTCATCACACTTTTGAGGAGAGGGAATCTGTGGCATAGATATATTCGACCAATGAATGATCGAGATGGTTCCTAAGGTGGTCATACAAAAGAGATATGGTTTATGATAGTTAGCTAGTTGTATTTCCAGTCATTTATGGCATTTGCGAAGAGTGAACCATTGCAGCATCGATGTACTCAAACAATAGAGGTGTCAATCAAAAGGTAGCCATACAAGTAGATCTACTAGTAGTAGCTTATAACTGTCTGCTAGTCATAAACCTCTCTTGTGAAGATTAAGGAACTTCAGTATAGGTACACTTGAACACAGGAGGTTTGAGATGGTTGGAATGGTAACCGCAGACGTCAGGCATTGCGAATGCCCATCTAGGTTAGCGCTCATTCACGCTATTTTGGGACGATTAGATTGGCATAGTAAAGTACGCGCCTGGCCACGGTGGCTTCAGCGTCTTCAGTTTCAATTCCGAGTTTATATGTTCATAATATGCCTGTAATTTATAATGCAAGTAGAAGTAGCTTACAATACCTAAGCGATATAAAGTTATCTGTTATGAAAAGTGGAGAACCATCAAGGTACTTATTCATGGCTACTGGAGGTTCTAGATGAATGTAAATGAGACTGTACACATATATACAGCTCGCAAGAGCTACTCAGTTGACATTCCAGACATATTTATCTCTTGTTCAGAGTGTGATAACTTAGTAGTTGCACGGTGTATGTTGGTTGACATGGTTGACATATATTTCTCCCGGTGAGAGCGGAACCTTGTAGCAACTGCATGCGTGTCTTGTATTAGGAGAATGATTAACAAAGTAGTTTTATTTATATTACGAAATTACGATTGAATGGAGTTATCCAGATTTATTGATTCACATTTATGTCAGAGAAATGGGGTAAATAGCATAGCAATTCTATTATATGTAATAAGAGAAATGAGTAAAACAAGACTTTCAATTGGTAGCTGATGTTACAACCAATTCATTATTTCAAATGACAGCGTGTGCGTTATAGCTTAGATTTACATGAATACACGTAAATATACAATGTATTTATTTTTCAGCGGAACGCTCGTTTGTTAATTAATCGTCTTATATAAGGCGGACGAATATAATTATTTTATAAATCGGCAAGTCGAAAGATGATATGAGCTGCTTTTATTGGTGTTCGGAATGTGAATGTGTGGGTATCTATCTAAAATTTGTAACTTTTATTCTGTGTACAACCACGTACAAATTTATTAAGCAACAAGGAGTAGAGAAATGTACGGATATAATTAAATTAATCGGAATATGACATGATTACATTACTGAAGCATGAACTGGCAGTTTTAGATTCGCTATTCTTAGAAATGGGCGGAGTCATTCAAGCTGTCGCGATTGTAGATTTAATTATATCAAATTATGATCGATTTATTTTTTTATATGTTCACTGGTAGGTTCATCGTATTCAGTTGTGTTGGTATTACGTTTAATACCACTTGTGATGGTACGAATTATGTTCACCCGCTTTATGAAAGATATCGAGCGCCCTTACAGCGTGATTTGTTATATTATGTTACTTGTTTTAATGGCAGTCGATAAGGAATAAATTGAATGACCAAATGGCGCCGATAGACAAGGGCGGTACATCGAGAAACATGATCAAAAAATTTAATTTAATTTCACGTTCCACGACGTTTGCATTATTAATAGATTTTATTATTTGTTTTCAGGACCTTGCCATGGAATATTAGTATATATTTATATCTTAATGATCACTCTACGTGTGGGACGCACGTAACTAACCTTTCTTGTATATCAGTTGGAATCATCTGTAATACTCATTTCTTTTTTTCGTTTCTTTTGTTTACTAATTGAATTGGTCCAAATAATCACTGTGGAAATTATTGAAACCCAAGATCCTGTATATACCGTCACACAAACTGTAATATTCAAATTGTGGTCCCTGCTTTGGCACTTACAACACCCGAGAGAAGAGGGTTTTCAAAATGTCGTTCGAATGTATGAATCGTGGCGCCACAGTTGTCGCGCCGCATCGCGTACCACCATACGTATTTAAAGTGTGTGAACACTTTGTTTGCGTATATGTAGTTCGAACGGGTGCGCTGCGTGGTGTGTGTTGCCATTTTATCACTAAATGACGGTGGTCTCGGGGTCGCGTGTGTTCTGTATGTTGTATGAGACCCGCCATTAAAGCACATAGCCACGACGATAACCACATTTTGTATTACTGATGGTCTGCTTTGTCACGTTCTTCAACACAAATATGGGATTGGTAAACGGAACAAGTGGTCATAAATGGTCTATGTGATGTATAATGCAAGACAGCAAGACAGTATCAAGGTGTAACCATACTTCCCTTGCACATAAATCAAACGTCTTACTTTACGTATTCCGCTTAACAAAATATGCATTTTACAGATTAATTACAAATCATTTCACTTTTTTTATTGACCGTAACTGTGTAACTTGAATATGTCACTATGTGCTTTTTGCCCCACTGAGTTAAACGATTTCGGGGATTAGCACATCGCGGACATGAGAAGACATAATATGAAATCGTCTTTCCCATAGCAGTGAACGAACGACCACTGTAAGAACTGATCGAACAGGTTCTAAATTGTTAAACCCAAAACGCCCGTGCTTTGCGGCCGCGCGCCGGTAATCCCCACGTACAAGCGATACCACTTCCTTCCGTTTATTTCCAACCTCTTCCCTTTAAACCATGGATTACTGAGAAAACATGGTCACCATTAACACGTTAATCTACGTGCACTGATCACGCAAGCGAGTTTACGTTCTGTGTACCAGGATATCAGTGATATAAGTTTTAAATGAGACATAATAAAATTTAATGCATGCGGCTTAGTCAGACCGCCGCATCCCCGTCGCTCGAATAAAACGCATGTTGTCATTTTTTGTTTTTGTTTGCGCACTACCCTTCGCCCCGAACATGACACTCGAGCTATTCGCAATAAAATGCCTTTGCGACCATCCACAGACTTAGAAATTCTACAAAATGTTCGCCGCTACTATGCCCGATTAATTAATTATTCAGGGCCAGGTGAAAGTGGATTATCTGCATTCAACCGACAAGAAATCCTAGATGGGATCCGGTGTACAATGTCGCAATAACAGGGCGCCGGTACAAAGATTGTTAGCAGAATACGACACGTGACTATAATACATGTTATAATATCGACCTTCTATTTGTAAGCTTCGGTTTAGTAAGGTCGCTTCAGGGTTAGGGTGTAATCAGCGTCGGGAATTGAGTGTATCATTGTTGAAACCATAAGGGATTTCAAATTTTCCGGTTTTTGACATGACATATTTCGACTTTATTTATTTCTCCTTTGTAGATCATAACATAGTACTATTATGCTAGGTATAATACTATGTATGTTTGAGGTGAACTGATGGGACAGAATAGAGTACGCTGAACTGTAAATATCATGTGCCATGCATTTTGGGTAATTCAAACGCATTAATTAATATTGAACCAGTCATTTCCAATCGCGTAATATGCCAGTGAAAAACAGTACTTAAATAAACATAAACACAAAATGATTGTTGTGAGTCGGCTTCGAATGGTGCAAACTCAAATGAGTACGAATAAAAACGGAAT